GTATCCAATAATATATCTGTCATTGTATATTAACAACAGAAGAGATGGCCTCCTTTCACGAGGTAAACGCGATTTGTTTTCTTTCTTTTATCGACAAAACCGAACACCCTGTTCACAAAATAGACTGAATAATATATCGTTTGAATGTATGTTTCTGAATTTTTTTTTTTGGGGGGGGGGCGGGTTTCCTAGTTGAGATGCCCACAATATGCATCACGATCCATTATTGATAAAAGAAGCCTGTATGTTATTGTTTTCTTTTTTCTCACAGAAAACGGAATTTTTAAATCCTGCATTTTTTGATCCTTCAAAATCAAATCATTAATAATCATCTTATGACATTTACCAGTGCCAGCAGACCGCACTGTTCGTTGTTCCTTTCTATCTACTTGGCGGTGGGTAGTTGCCATAGACGGCCACTCGCTTGTTTCTACACTAGATGGCAATATGCACTCAAAAGTGGTTGCGAGTCCGCAAAAAGGACAGAAGAAAAAGAAGTTAACAGGACGTGACGCAACCCCCTCCCTTCATGAGTGCCCCTCCACGCGTTGATTGACAGTGTTATCAAAGAGGTGCTGGAATGTTAAATAACTTATTTCTTCTGCCATCCACCAGGGCATAATTTCACGTGGGGAATTGTGAGACTTACCGTCTACGTTCGTACATGCTTTTTAAAAAAATAAAAAGAGGAATAAATATTTTAGCGAAGAAAACAGTATGGCAAAGCGGAGTGGATGCAAGAAGGCAGACGTCAATACAAAGAAGCTGAAGCAAGTGCTGAAAGCAAAGGGTGGAAAAACAAAAGAGACGTCCAAGAGAAAAGATGCAGGTAATCTGGAACAAACAACACTCTGCTGTATGACAAGTCCGAACTCCATTTTACGGAACGCGTATTTCACAATGTAATTATACTGTTTTTGTGACATACTGATACCATGTCAATTGAAAGCACAGTTACAATTCTACTAATCGTAAAGTATTACAAAGACCTTCGTTGCTATACACAGCCCTTATGATTTTGTTAACCCCATGAAATGACTTCTTATTTAAACTGAAATTCTTGACAGGAGTTTTGGCACCGCATAGCGAACTCCCACCATACACCGGGGTCACTGCCTGGCTCACTACCCCTGTCCTGTCCCATCCCGTCTTGATCTGTCCTATTTGCTGCTCGTATGCTATACAGTAGTTGCCATATTAGTGTACTGATATTGTTCTCTGTAGCTCAGTGGTCTCTTTACTCTCTGTCTGACTGATAAATACTGATCGCAATAGAAATCACAGCAATTGGAGTATATTGAACTCTCCTATTTCACAGCAGAATGATTCCATCATTAAAAGACAAACGGATCAAGCATTTGCAAGACTAAGCAAAACAAAAAAGGTTTAGAAAATAAATGATCAATCATTCCGAAACTAAACGGTGGGAATGGTTTCCTGCTGTCTCGGAAGGTGCTGATGGCAGTGCAAAAGAGGAGGCGATGCTCAAGAGGAGGGTTATTCCGAAACCACGTTCCTCCTCAGGCCACGGAATTGGGAATACCACAAAAATTATCACCAGCAAACACTTCCAATCCCAGGTGAAGGTGGAGGATCCACCCAGCAACAATAATTATGATGAAAAGATGAGCTCAGCAGCCCCAGTGACAGACGATGTAAAGGAAGAAGAGGAGGAGGAGAGTGAGGAAGAGGAGGATGACTGGGAGGAGGTGGAAGGTGAGTAAAGAAAACTAACAACATTGTACCTGTCCTTGCTTTTCAGTTAACATGTGTTTGTGTTTTGTGAGAACTGGCTGAGCCTCTGAGTCCAGCTGAAACCCCAGAACTCGTCCTGCCATCTCAGCCTGTAGAGATCGAAATTGAAACCCCAGAAATCAGGAAAAAGTAAGAGAACACCACAAAACTTTTTTTTTTTTTCAGGAAATTATGTCACCAATCACTAGCTTTCTTGTGCATCAATACCTATCAACCAGCACTAGGGGACAATGTCACTCCACAATCTGTTCTTGTGTCACAGTCCTAGCTTTCCAAAGTGTTTTCCAAGGATGAGCTGTTACATTAGTTGTAATATTATTTATTATTAGTTGTATTTTGTTTTTCAATGCAGTGATTAATTTCCCTTTACTTAAAACATTGCCAGTGCAGTTAGTGCGGTGTTTTCTGCATAGCTATGGTTAATATTTGTTTCATCTTAGGCAACTGGCTAAAGTAAAGCTTCTCTTTTCTCAAGAAGACTTTGAAACAGTAATTCATGCCTTTGTCACATCTCTGCTGGATTAATATAATGCACCTTACTTTGGAGTGAGCCAATCCTCCGTTAAGCGTCTCCACTTGATCCAAAATTCTGCTGCTCGCCGCTTGACCGGTACTCGTAAGAGGGAGCACATAACTCCTATTGTGGCATCCCGTCACCCCTTAAAATTCATTTTTATTCTTTGGCTTTTGACTCTTGATTTTTAGTTTGACTGTTTTTGTGCTTGCTGTTGCCTTCGTTATTAATTTATTGTTTTATTGTTTGTTGCCGTATTAATTCTTTATGCTCCGTGTACAGCAGCACTTTGTATACAGCGGAGGTTGTTTTAAGGTGCTCTATGAATACATTTGAGTTGCGATAGTTGTTAATATTCAAACATAAAATACTCTGTAACAAATGGCATTGTGACATAATTTTTTTTCTCTAGGCTGCAAACTAGTTGAGCCTGATCCAAGAATGCTGATTGCAGCCTAGTCGTGTACACCAGGGGTCCCCAACCGCCGGTCCGCGGACCGGTACCGGTCCGCAGGGCATTTGGTACCGGGCCGCACAGAAAGAACTTGCCTTAATTCCGTTTTATTTCGGAATACGAAAGGTTTTATTTTGAAAAATTACCGGATTCTCCGTTACATCCGTCTGTGTCACGCTTGACACACGTTTTGTTGGGTCTGCACTTTGCAGACCCCTGGCAAAGGCCAAGCTGGGACATGCTAGTTGTATGCTATGGTTGTAATAGTTGTACAAGATGTAACGGTGGCCCAAGACTTTTGTTTGACCCAGACATGTTATGAAGATCCTCTATTCATATTTTCAATTTTTGAAACACTCTGCATTAATTTCACATATCCTCATATTTACAACTTTCTTAAAATTCCACTTCTTTCATGTGCTTTCAAATTCTGCTTTTCATAAAAATGGTCCCTTGTTGTGAGTCATCATCATTTGTGGTTGTCCAGACAGAAGAAAAAGGCAGAGTTTGAGATGTACCTGAGACGGATGATGAACCGTTACAGGAAGGACCTGCTGATCGACACGCACAAGGTGAACACACCTGCATACGCTTTTGTTGTTAGCATCCCTCCACACTCGCTCTGTGAGTTATTGCGAGATTCTTTTTGTGCTCCGTCAGGTGCACCTCATGTGTCTCTTAGCCAGCGGGATGTTCCGCAACCGCCTGTGCAGTGAACCCGACCTGCTGGCCGTCACGCTGTCGATGCTTCCTGCTCACTTTAGCGCGGTCGCCAAGGAGCGTAAAGACCAGAACTACCTCTCTGGGCTGCTAAAATGGTGTGTCCACGCAAGCAATACTCCATGGAGTTATTGCGCCGTTTAAGTCAGTGATTCCAAATTTGGGAGCCTTTGTTCAATAAAGGTTGGGAAACACCTCTTCAAGGGGAAGTCCAGTTGACTATCCTTTTCTCATCCATCTCGGGTGGGGGGAGGCATTTTGCGGTTGACTTCATTCATATTCTATTAACGAAATTGAAGTCTGTATCATTAATTTGAATATATTAATTTATGTCCCGGAATGGGCTGTTGGGGTTACTTTGTAGGCTTAAAAAAAAAAAAAAAGCCAAAGCAATTACCAGTACTCTTATCTTAAATGTGAATAAAATCACAATTGGTACAGTGTTTGAACTGCTCACAAGTGTTAAGTAAAGGGTCGTTTTTCTTCCAGGTTTCAAGCAACTTTCACCCTCAACCCCAGTCTTCCCTATGAAGAGCGTCCAAACCCTCGCACACTGCTGGAGAAACGTCTGGCAAGCCTGTCGGCAAAGAACCACCAAGAGATGACTCATGTCGGTAGTTCACCTCCACCAGTGGAATGGAACGATTCAAATAAACGCCGTTGATGTAGTTATGATCTTTTCGTGTTTCCTGTAGCTGTTTATGCTGGTCTTGAGGTCTTTGCAGCTCTTCTGCCGGTTGGTTCTTTCTCTACAGCCTGTTCCTTTCAAACCTCCACCAGCCAAGGTAACACCACCATTTTATAAACACTCATCACACACTAGCCAATGGGATGCCAGGATGATGCTCGGTATTAGCCAGTGGCAGAGCAGCTACAAGTATGTTGCGTTCAGGAAACTCGGAGCTGCGAGTTGCGACCCATACTGTATTTTTACCTTTCGTATCTTGAAATTTCTTTCGTAACTAGAGGCAATATTTTCCTGTTGAGGCATTTCGTAACTTTCATGTGACATTTCGAACGAAGAGTCGTTCGTAAGTAGAGGTACCACTGTACTGCACATGTATGGTATATAAGCCATCCATCTATTTCAATACTGCTTGTCCTTATTAGGATAAAATAATTAGTTGCAATTACTATTAAATGCAATTTTGCAACAAGAAAGGCTTACTCCTCACCTGACGTGTTACCTTTTATAAATACATAGGACTCCTGTCTCTGCAGTTCAGTAAATAGACACCCATGGCCAGTATATGTAGAGATGATGAGATCAATTTTCTTATTGGTCTGACCTATATTTCAAGTACCGGTAATAAAAAATGCTTACTTATATCCATGTCACTTCAGGTAAGATCCTATTGTCATTCTGCATCTTTGCCTGTTATTGTGTTCCTGTGGGATGTATATTCACCATTTTTTCATGTGTTACAAATAAATCCGTGTCTCCAGGGCAAAGAGGCCACAAGCGCCACTATCTCACCAGCAAAGACAAACCAAAACCAGGGAACTTCAAAGACCAGCTCACCTGAAAAGAAAGTCTCCCCGGGCTCTAAGAGGTCAGCTGAAAGAGCAAAGATCGACGGAGACAGGGGAGGGAAAAAAGCAAAGAGAAAACCATCTCAGGGAGAGGAAGAAGAGGGGGCAGAGAAAATGATGTCGCCAGGAGGCCCAAGACCAAAGAACTCCAAACGGCGTAGCATTGCATCAAAGGTCAGCTACAGGGAAGAGAGCAACAGTGACAGTGAGGAGGAACTTAGTGATGAAGACTTTCAAGTGTCCCCTGAAGAGGACAGTGACGATTCAGAGATTGGGACCAAATCTGCCAAGGGAGTAAAGGGTAAAGACAGCAGAAAAAGCAAAGATATAAACGACACTAAGAATATAGCCCAAAAGAAAAAGAGCAGTGTAGGGAAAAATGAGGATGGAGAAAAGGGACTGGCGGCCAGCAAACCAAAGCGACAGAGTGCGAAGAAGAACAATGGTGTCGGAGCTGATGAGTGGTTGGAGGTGTTTGTTGACAAAACCTCCTCCTGGGTGTGTGTGGATGTGGAGCACGGGGTGGGCGTGCCTCACCTCTGCTCCCAGAATGCAACACGGCCCGTCACGTATGTGGTGGGTGTGGACGGAGACGGCTTTGTGAAGGACCTGGGTCGGAAGTACGACCCCACCTGGATGACGTCGAGCAGGAAGAGGAGAGTGGAAGAGGAATGGTGGGAGGAGACTCTGCAGCCGTTCCTGAGACCCGAAGATGAGCGGGACGCGAAAGAGGATAAAGAGGTGAACCATTATGAAACTTTTAAAAAGCCTCACGAATCATTGTACGCTCAAGCTTGATTTGATTGGCCATTCAGATGCAGAAGAAGCTGCTGAACAAGCCTTTGCCCATCTCCATCGCCGAGTACAAAAACCACCCGCTGTACGCGTTAAAGAGACACCTGCTCAAGTACGAAGCCATCTATCCCGACACAGCCGCCGTACTCGGATACTGCCGAGGAGAGCCGGTGTACTCCAGGTCAGTCAAACACTCAGGACACTTCGGTAGGAGGGACCGTCATGAACATAATTTAGGATGACCTCTCACATTTACTTTAGAAATGCTTTCAAACATTACGGAAACACTCTGATGAGCACGACTGCTTTTCTTTCACTCGTACACACTCCTGAAAGGCTCTTATGTTCTCCGATTGGCTGACAAGTTTCAGTTAAAAATATCCACTTGCACAGGCTAAAATTTTGAAAGGTTCTCCCAAGTCATTGTGTCAAAATCGCAGTGCCCTTTGACTTTCTTTAAAAAAATCGACTTCAGTCGTGCAAATGGAATATGACTTTTGGCTTGGGGAGTAGAATTGGTCATGTTCTTTCGTAATCAATAGTTTTTATTTCGTGTTTTTTTTTTTTAATCCCTGAAATGACTTCTAGTGGATTTTCGAGGCGTTTGAAGTGTTCATTCCTACTTTTTTCCCACAAAGATGGCAGCCACTTGTCACATAGCTCTTCTTGTACGCAACGCTGAAACGCTCTTGTACACAAATAGAATACATCTTCAAATAAATAAAATGTCAAAGCAATTTAGTGGCGTGTGTAAGAGCCGATTGGGAGTGTGTATGAGCAAAATGAATTCAGTCATTGATATGAAAGTCTTTTACTTGTGTGAATGAGAGCATTTCGATACTTAAGGTCATCCTGAATTGTATTTCATTCTTTTTCCTCCCATTCTTCAAAGATGATTACCGGGTAGTCTTTTCACTTTAAGCGCTCTGCAAGTGTGAGTCCAGACACTTTTTTTCATGCTAATGTGAAAAATTTTGACTGGTTTAAGGAACTCTTGATACAATGCTGCTATCTAAACACAACATCAATGTTATATTTATTTATTTATTTTAAGATTATTATTTTTTTGTTTACAATGATGCGCTCAAATGCATCAGTATCAGTGTGTTGTTTGTAATTGTAATGTTTATTCCGAACTTATTTGTTAATATATTATTGTCATTATTTCAATTAAGCAAGGAACACAGTGTCCCATTCTTGAGGCAAATATTATTATTATTACACATGATCATGTTCCTTTCTGCTAGAGATTGTGTGCACACGCTACATTCCAAAGACACATGGCTGAAAGAAGCACGAACGGTCCGAATAGGAGAACTACCCTACAAGGTGAGGCTTTTAGTGGTATACTCCATATTTTTCTATTTTTCCAAATTGTTGCTATTATTGTTTATAATATATAAGATCATATTGTGTGCTTAACAAGTTTATTAAGACTACCACCGAGTGTAAGGTTTACAGCGCATCCTGAAAGTATTCACAGCATTTCACGTTTTCCAGATTTTATGTGACAACCTCATCCTAAAACGGAATTTTTTCCCCCTTCAAAATTCGACACACAACAGCCCCATAATGACAACCTGATTTTTTTTTTCTTTTCAAATGTATCAAAAATATTTGCTCAATACTTTTTGTTGAGGAACCGTTGGTGGTAATTCCAGCCTCGGGTCTTGTTGAATACGATGCCACAATCTTACCACGCCTATCTTTGGGCTTTTTCGACTATTCTTCTTGGAAGCACCTCTCAAGCTCCAAGCTCAAATTCTCAACCAGAGAATTTTCTTGCTTCGGATGCCTTTTGACAAACTCCAGACGGGCTGCCATGTGCCGTTTACTAAGAAATGGCTTCCATCTGGCCATTCTACCATACAGGCCTGATTGGCAGAGGACTACAGAGATGGTTGTTCTTTTGTAAGGTTCTCCTATCTCCACAGAGGACCGGTGGAGCGCTGACAGAGAATGACCATCGGATTCTTGGCCACCTCCCTGACTCTTTTCCGATTTCTCACTTTAGATAGGTGACCAACTCTTTGAAAGAGTCCTGGAGATTTGGAACTCCTTCCATTTAGATGATGGAGGCTACTGTGCACATTGCAAGCTTCAAAGCAGCAGAGACAGTCCTTTTCTTTACGCTTCACCGGATTTGTGCATTAAAACAATCCTGTCTCTAGACCCGTGATTCCCAACCAGTGGGCCGTGGCACATTAGTGTGCCGTGAGAGATCATCGGGTGTGCCGCGTGGTCCAGTGTCAGTTATCTGGATGAAAATTATTTTCTATTTTAAAAAAAAAAACGTTTTTGTTCATTTATCTTGGCAATCAAATATAGTAACAGGCAGAATAGAATGCCCTTCCACTGTGTGACAAAAGGTACATCATGAACCTGTGTATCCACTTTTTGGGAATCGTTTTGCTAAGTGGTGTGTCGTGACATATTTTCCGATGGGAAATATGTGCCTTGGCTCAATAAAGGTTGGGAAACACTGCTCTAGGCAATATCTTTGATATCATGCTTGGTTTGTGCTCCGACATGCACTGTCAACCCGTGGGACCTGATTATGATCAGTGGAAACATGATGCGCCTGAACTCAATTTTGACTTTGGTGGCAAAGGCTATGAATACTTAGAGGATGTATATGGGATTTCTTAAATTTTAATACATTTGCAAAACTTTCAAATGCACTTTTTTCACATTGTCATCATTGCTGTTGTGTCGAATTTTAAGGGGAAAAAATGCATTTATTTTTGGGTGGATGGAGGGAGGCGGGTGAGACTGTAACATACAAAATATGTCAAACGTTGACATATTTTGACAGGCATTGGTAGTGACCTCTTTTTTTTCATTTTGGTTTGTTTAACTCTCTCTGTGATTATTGATACACCAGAACATCGAAACACTTCAATTGAGAATATATTTTAAATGCCAATACAGTATATAGTTATGAATGTATGTTGTCAACCACTTTTATATTTCTTACTTATGATGTCAAATTATAATTATTTACTTGCATAATAAATAAAAAAATATTTTCGTGTGTTACTTCGAGTGTTACTTCTCTGAGAAGCCTAATGAGCTTAAAATGGTGAAATGTCGAGAGCTAAGCGAAAGTTGAAAGAGTCTACTACCTAATGCTGCATGGACTTTTGTCGTCTTTATGGATGGTATGCTAATTCTGCTTAAATTATCTCCCTGCGTTCTTTATCCCCTGTGTACATGTCAGATGGTGAAGGGCTTCTCAAATCGTTCCCGAAAGGCTCGGATGATGACTGAGCAGAAGGATGAAAATGACCTTGCTCTGTTTGGAGAATGGCAGACGGAGGCATATCAACCTCCCATCGCTGTGAATGGAAAGGTATTCAATGCTTGTGAATAGGCAACCTTTCTTTTGTATTGAAATGGAAACATTACCTATTCGACTTAGAAATGTTGAAAAGCCAAAAGCTTTCAAATACCTTTCAAAGATGCATTAAAATTAAGAAATTGCCTCAAATTGATTATTGTTTAATTTACTGACTTAAGTGCTCTATTATTTACTACTCATTGGTTGCTTTCAGGTTCCCCGCAATGACTACGGCAACGTCTACTTGTTTAAGGCCTGTATGCTGCCGGTGGGCTGCGTTCACCTCAGGCTGTCCAATCTGCACCGTGTGGCCAAGAAGTTAGACATGGATGCCGCCCCCGCCGTCACTGGCTTTGACTTTCACGGGGGGTATTCACATGCGGTGTAAGTCGCTTTTTTTTAATCACCTTCAAATGTCGTATGTTGATACACTTTTTGGTACATGTTGACAACACTAAGCAATGATGCAGAGCAGAAACAGTGTAGAGTAGGGGTCTCAAACTCAATTTATGTGCTGCTGGCGATAGTCCGGGTGTGTCAGGGACATATCAAGTACTTTGTATTCTACAAAAAAAGTATTCCCAAAAAGTACAACTCATCCAATCTTCACAATCTTTATTCATAACAGTTCGCCACATCAATGGTTTGTCAGAACATGAATACAATTTTTGACCTGATCCACTCTCACATCTAACTATTACTTTGCATACTCCTCAGAATGGCGAGTTGAGGAATGACTGTGTTATGACTGTTTTGGGCAAGACCGATGTGTGTGCATTTGATTTCCCGAAACCATGTGGATGGTATGATAGACAATGACTTCTTGGTCTTGTTGTGAGTTCGCTATGATGTGAAAGTCATGATTTAGGTTGACATTGACTGTAAGAAAGGAATGTTCTTTACTTCAAACAGATTCTTTTCTTTTTTGCATTCAGACCAATTGTATACTGCATTGATTCTTGAATATGTATTTTATTAATATATGGCGGAGTGTCAAGGCATCCAAGAATACTACATCCATGTGAAACTGTCAGTAAAACCACAGATATCAAAATTTCCATAGGCGTACTATGTAGGTGGCCACCATTCATTCATTATTCACAGAAGTGTTGAAAAAGCTCCTTTTTTTTCCCCTCGTGGTTTTAACAGTAGAGTTTTTGTGCCCAATCCTGCTCACTCACACACACACACACACACACACACACACACACGCACGCACATCATGATGACAACACCCTTGGCCTCGATAATTAATAGTACAGGAGAATAGTATATTTATTATTAAGCTGGTTTCCAATGTGTGTTCCAGCACTGATGGCTACATTGTGTGTGAGGAGCATGAGGAGATCTTAAGAGCTGCCTGGGAGGAAGAACAAGAGCTTCAAAAACAGAGGGAGAAAGAGGTGCGTGGGCGTCCACTTGTGGGAGTGTCATTGAAAAGTTGTTCATTGTTCGGCTAAATGGTCTTTTGGCTTTCATTTTTCAGAAAAGAGAAAAGAGGGTCATCTCCAATTGGACGCTGCTTGTCAAGGGCCTTCTGATCAGAGAACGTCTGAAGCAGCGTTACGGCAAGAAAGGCCAGGCCACCGGGGCCCTCGCTGCACCTAGTGCAGACGGAGACAAGTGTGATGGACTTTCATCGGATGAGGGGGGTGTCGGGGAGGAGGAAAATTCCAGCGCTAAATCTGTGTCAGAGACACTAGCTATGTCTTGGCCCCAAAACAGGCAAGCAGCGGAAGAGAAAGGGGGGAGTTTCAGTGGGCAGAAGACAAAGCGGGAGAGGAGAGGCAAAGAGAAACATTTGTTCCCCTTTGAGAAAACGTGATGCATGTATGTCAATTTGTACTTTTCAAGTCACCGTTCACTCCATGCTGCTCTGTATACACACTTTGTATGCCTACAGCAAGTCATAGGTGGTTTTATGGATGAGTAAATAATATGTAAAAATACGGTAATAAACATATTTTACATGTCGAGTTTTGGCTGAATAGAACCTGAAACGTGTCAATGTTACTGTTGTTGACAAGCACACAACTTCCATTTTGTCCATATCTTAACGGAGACACACTCAGCCTCCATCTCTTTTTTCCGTACTGTGGTGTGTATATAGTACACGTTTTTTTACAGCTGACATTTGCATTTAGGTTCTACAACGAAAATTATTTTTTGTAAGTGAATATTATTGGAATACGATTAAAATAAATAATGTTCAATGGTGTTGTCACTTTATTTGTAAGTATCTATGGTTATGTTTTTTTCAGCCCCAAAAAATTCCCCCAAGTCCTGGGGGCTACATTTTGTTTTTTGGTTGGGGGCGTAGTCAGCCTGTTGCAATTTTCAGCCAGTTTTTCTCATAGGTCACTGCAAATCCATGTTCGTTTGGGGAACTACATCATGATGTTTTCTCCTGATAATACTGTATCATAAACCCTGAGTACATCATAAGTATGTTAAAAATATCGATGCATGGGAGTCACAGTGCAATTTTGTGTTAACTTACCTGCCTCATGATGTATTAGCTAAATTATGTAGCTCACTGCAGAAACTAAACGTTGCGTAGCAAAAATGACGTTTTCGTCAAAGTATAATACAAATCCAGTACGTTTCGCAATATAAAATAGATCTGTAAGGTGACGTGCACATGAAATGTGACATCTACTTTTGTATTATTTACAAGGCCAAGCAAGGCGTGTTTCTTTTTTTGGGGGGAATAATTCTCAGCAGGCCTACTACATATTTATATTGTGTCGTTTTCGGAAAGAAGTGCGCCGAGGGTTAAGTTGTTTGGTTTCAAGTGTAACATTTAACAGCACTCGTATTTTACACATTTCAAGCTTCAACTACACACCCGCAGGTGTAGGTAAAATATCTTCACTTCATGTTGACTTATTCAAGCTTGCCAAAAGTAAAAACCTTCAGTTTATGTACTTACACCACTGTGGAATATGTCGAGTCTCAGGCGCGTTCCAGTCGCCTTTTCATTTTATATACAGTATATTCCTTCGATTCGGAACGGTGAAATTCCGACCGCGTTTGTGTACTTAGAACGCGTCATATCGTCCGCCTACCAGCTAACGCACGTAGTGGCTTTGTAGTCTAAAACACACTTTGTTTGTCACCGTGAACAGGACCGGTGTGGCTCTGACAGGTAAATATGTCTTGAGTTTTCGTAGACTCAATAGGTACATCTGTCGTTAATTTTGTCTGTAAGCGCTCGAGTTGCTGACGGCCTTGTTTACATCCCAATCCACGGGTTAGGAGTGGGCAAGAGGCGTATCACGACGATATCCGATGCTAACGGGGAGCTAGCAACTACTCAGATCGTAAACTCGTATCAAATTTACTTGTTTAACTTTGCGTCTCTGCGAGGATTTTTTTAAACCTCGTTAAACTGATGTCTTTAGCTTTGTAGCGCTGTATGACTCATTGTAAATGTTTCAAGGCTAATCCGGCTAACTCAAATTGGCTAGTCGATAACTGGACTGGACCTCTGGGGCTCTTTCCAAACAATGGAGGCAAATGTCGATGTTCTGTTCATCCAAAGCATATTTGTTTCATATCGTCCAGAACATTACGCCAACCCCCCCTCCACCACGTATTATGAAACTATGCTGAGTCGCTGTGATACATTAGCTTAGCAAAATGTGTGTCACCCAGTTTAAAGAGCCTATTTTTAGCCTGAACCAGGACCGTTTGGCTGATGCCTGGCTGACACCATGAAAGCCTGGCAGGTTCGCTTTGGCTCTTCTCGACTCGTTTGGGTCAATGTCAGATAGATATTTAATTCATACTCAAGTGCAGTTCGCTTTTGTCAAAAAAAAAAAAATTAAAAAAAATGTAATTCGTAATTGCACTTCAGTTTTTGTACCTCAGAGTCAGTTAAGTGGCCACTGTCCAGTGTCACTGGGCACAAAATCAAGGGCTCATGGCATCTTACGAGAATTCCATAAATTTGTAATTCTCAACTGGTTGCTCAGGAACCCAAAAGTGGATCACGGAGTCATGAGTCATGGGCAGGTAATAAAGAATTGCAGGGTCTTCAGTTTACGATGTTTCGAGGTTACAAATACAATAGAATACAATACATGCTGATTTATATAGCGCTTTCACAACAGCGGCAGCTGTAACAAAGCGCTTAACAAAACAGTTAACATAAAGTAAAATAATAAACACAACACTTAACATAAAACACGGACAGTCGTGCAGTCCTAACCACTTTTCCCGGACACGCTTTGTTGTTTGAAGCAGTTTGAGATGAAAGAGGAGAGAATCAAAGTGTCCTTTCACCAGTGGATCAGAGACATCATGCTCAAAACGTGCACACGTTGGCTACAAGCTAAGTTTCAAAGTCAACAAGCTGTAGCATCCATTGACGAAAAAAGAGATTGCTTCACTTCTCCTGTCCCATGGAAATCCATTTCAATTCCAAGCGGCGACTCTCGGTTCCAAATACGCATCGGCGCTCGGCACCAACGCTCCTCTCTCCTCATCCTCAACTTCAACAACAACAACAACAACAAATGGCGAAAGAATGTGTTTTCATGCTGTACAATAAGACACATTTATAGTCAGGATGAAAAACTTTACAGCATCCTAAAATATACTTCCCACGGTTAAGTAAAAGAGGCTAGAAATACCTCTCTATCCTTAAGTGCTCCATTTGAAAGCCCTGCGGCAATATTTTAGATGTTGACATAAGGGTAAGACCAAGGAGTATTTGATATGTGCATGCCTGATCATCCTATCCTTGGCATTCAGCATGATGAGTTATTCAAGTGCATGTGAGCAAAATCCTGTTTTATATGAGTTGATTTTTTTAAAAATAATAATGCTTATGCAAACTTCTAAAACAAATCAAGCACAGTAGACATGTAAAAGAATATGTGAGCAATAACCTGCTTTTTAATGCATTTAATCCGTTGTTGCTATGACGGTACAAATCAATCAGTTCAAAGGTATTACTCGAATTCCCGTGCATTTGAAAGTACTGTCATAGTGAAACGTGTGAACTTTGAATGCAATTCGAAATCATACACGTTAACGGTTTAAGTAGCCAAACAAGTGTGAAAACAAATAAAAATGCGCGTGTGCATAACATTTTTGAATATTAACTTCCACATTGAGTAAAAAAAAAAAAAAGTTGACCGCTAATGTAAACCAATAACAAAACAATCCAACAAACCAGGCACGCAGGTAAATGCCCACACGCATGCAGTTAATCCTCTCAGCTCTTGAACATGCCCACAAGAAGTCTTGTGCGACCTCAAGATTTAAGGAGTGAAATCTTTTCAATTTTGGAGGTGCCGCTGTATTTCATTGGAAAAACACCTCTCAATATGACGTCGCTCCACACCACTGCAAACTCGGCAGCCGCTCGCGGAGCACATAAGTAGACGGATATCCATTCAGACTCACATTCACACCATCACTGAGTCTGGCAAGTGAACCACGACTGCACGATTTTGGTTGTTTCTTGTCTTTTTTTTTTTTTTTTTTTTTTTTTTTTGCTAAGAGTCCACAGGTGTGCGTCTTTATCCCCTTTAAAGCTAAAGTACGTCTCAACTAATCCTCTAAAGCCCAGACAGTAAGGCTCAACACATGTCCTTCATCCTGCACCTGCTCAGCTCAACACAACTTCAATGTAGTACTTATCACCAAGATAATCATCAGATAATAGTTGGAACTTCTCATGTGTAGCGGTATGGTTACACTTCAGCATACTTTCTTAACATCAGTTACAACTTTGTTATTAGCCAGGGCTTTGGCGCGTCTTGTGGGCGCAGAAAGCGCCTAAAAATATGTGAGCACTGCGAATAGATTAGTTTTTCGGGAAGTAGCTCAGGATAGGTTCCACTCAACAAACGCAAAGATGTGACATTGTGAATAGGCCGTGGTTCACTGTACTTTGTTTTATGCGTTCATCTCACAGTTCTCTCATTGATTTCCCGTTTGATTCACTTGCTCTCCAGTTTCTCTGTTGCCTTGGATCACCCTCAAACTTCCAAATGAGTGACGGGGAGTGCGACTTCTTCTGCTTCTTCCGCTGCTGCTGAGCGCGTACTCCACGCGGCTCAGACACACCGGACGCCAGTGTGTCTCTGGACACCGACTCAAGCACGCAGGCCGGAGGGCGGAAAGGTGGCGCTTTGATAAGCCATTCCAGCCGATCATAACCACACAGATCCGACAGGTAGGCGTGCAGTCTACCTGTCCGGGTGGTTGATTCCGTCGACCGGATGTCTGTGGACATGAACAGCCAGGCGTCTGACAGCAACGAGGAAGACTTTGGGGTCAACTCTGAAGAGGAGGAGGATGAGGACGACGGCGGTGAAGAGGAGGATCAAGGGGACATCGAAACCTACTACGACGGGGTGGCCAGCGATGTGGAGCAACAGGGCGCTGACTCCTTTGATCCAGAGGAGTATCAGTTCACTTGTCTGACATACAAAGAGAGCCACAGAGTTCTCAATGAGGAGGTGAACATTGTGGCTGCTGCACTAAAGGTGGGCTTAGTCTACTCTGAATCCTTTTAACTCCTGCTTTTTTACGCCGAAAAGGAAAAAAAAAATTATTTTTGTTGTCGTTATTAATCTCTAGTGCAATAATGAATCAGAGAACAATGGTGCCTCAGCTCCCACTCAGCGTATCAACACACTTACAAAGTAGCCCATCGCGATCTAGCCTGGAAATCCAGACTCCTCGCTATACCAGCAATTGAGTGTGGTCACAGTCACATCAAGCGCATTTCTGAGGCGGGGCAAACCTGAGTAAACAGACAGCGAAATGCACCAATCAGCGAAGAACGGACATGATGTCAGGGGGAAAAAAACGTCTTCTTTTGAAATGCTTCCAGTGCTGTTACCTAATATTTTTTTCCCCTTACTCTGTTTCTGGTCATTTGAAACTCGAGTTTAATGCTGAATCAAACAAACTATTGTCCCTCCCACATGTCATTTGGAATGTTACGAAAACGGACTTTCGCTACTGAAGAGGGACGATGTTCAGGAATTCGTCAGAGCAAATAAACCAATTTGATTGCACGGTTTGTTTTGAACCGTGGCTGAGCCGTGGTCGTGGGTTTGGCTTGCCAGGCTCCTCAAGATCAGGCATGGATGGATGGACTGGTGGCCTGCGAGTCATTGAAGTCAGGTCCCACAAATAAAAAAACATTTGACCAAATGAACCATAACTTTTAGTCACAATTGAAAACGAGATCTATTTTTCAGAAACTTTGTTCGGAAAAGGCCTCACAAGTGCCAGGTGCCGCCTACCTATGTTGTGGATAAACCTTACACAAAGACAGTTTCGTACCCAGTCTTGTCATTTGTTCGGCACCCTGTTTCTGGTTTGTTTGAGGCATCTCAACTGTCAGTGCATGCCAGAGACAAATGTCATCAATGCATTATTAGTATCAGATGTCTGTTAGTAGTTCGGCCTGTAATACAAGGTGACGTTGTCATGCATTTTGTCTCGCTTCATGCGTCATGCCATATTAAGGAAGATGAGTTAAATCTTCTTTTCTCTCTCTTGTTCAGGTTTTACCGGCTGTTGCAAAGCTGATCCTCGTGCATTTTCACTGGCAGGTTTCACAAATACTGGACAGGTATTTTCACTCCATTTCTATTGTTTTTTACGGCGTCATTGCAGTCTGTTTCCCAAACTTTTTTTCCCCCCCCTGTAATATTTACCTTTCGGTTTCAAGCATGCTTGAAATGCTGAGAAAAGGCTTCAGTTATTTCATCAGTTAGTTGAATCTGGCAAAGTTGGGGAGAAAAATCACTTTAGCAAAAAACTGTTTGAAATGTATGTATGTCTAACGGATGAGGAAGAACACTTTTCTGACTGCAGCCCGTTCTTTACTACAATAAACAAGGATCAAAAAGACATTTGCCGGCAAAGTCTGTGGCAGAGTTGAAGTGGCCTGCCATGCGATTAAAGGCAAATCATCTGGGGGTTCCCAGAGGAACAGTTCTAAAAAGAAATCTAGCCCTCAAATACGATCAGTATACGCTGATAAAAATATCTTCATGATATTTTTTTTCATAAGAGCAGCAGATAAGACATTTAGCATGTCTGCCTCCCAGTCAGGAGGTTGGATTCTTCTTCTTTAGGTGTGAATGTGAGTGTGAATTGTTGAGACAGCTGAGCTGGAAATAAATCGTGACCTTATTTTCAAGCACTATGGAAAATGGATGGATGTTTTTATGAATGATGTATGGCCACCTGCCGACTAAATAAAAACTGAAATAGCACCTAATGGTAAAAAGGGCCCTCGCCTATTAAGTGCTGGAACATTTTGAAAGTGCTTGAATCTGACCTTGGAAAAGTTGCAAGAGCCCTGTGCATTCATATGGCATTCTTTCTTTATTTCTCTACACCACAATTTTTTCCACCGTTTTTTCTTCTTGTTGTCTGCAGGCATAAGTCCAGTTCGTCTCTGGTGTTGTCAGAAGCCCTGGTTCAGCCGAGCAATGCCTGCAGAGCGGTCTTTGTGAGTAACAAACGGACTTGCTACCGTTCGAGCGGAGATATTCTTCAGTTAGAGACCAATTCAAGCTCATAAACTTTAGTTTCATGAGTCTGCTTAAGACTTTCTTCGATGGTAGTTGTATGCATGTCAAATGTATGCAAATCCATCTGCATATTTTTTATTATGCGCTTTTTACTGAAAACAATCGCATTGCAAGCAGCCCAGTGCAATGCGTGTTTCTGTAGTTCATAATGTGTTCACTTTGGGACAACGTCATTTGAACTTCACTTGAATTTGTCTGTTTCAGGCTCCTCAGTCCCTGCAGTGTGGCGTGTGTCTCCAGGTCGTAAGGAGAGACTCCCTGCTGGCGTTGCCCTGCCAGCACTCCTTCTGCAAAACTTGCTGGGAGCAGCACTGCACTGTACTGGTCAAAGATGGAATCGGAGTGGGTAAGTTAAGATTGTGTGCATTTGCATGCATGTGTGTGCTTTCGGTACCGTTGTGGTCTTTGTATGCAAAAAACGATCCGATGAAGTAAATTTGAGCAGAAGTCTGTTCTCCCTGTCAAATGCAGTACTGAAGAGAATGCATATGTGATTGCAAATGGATGCCATGTGCAGAAATTAAACACTTAAAATGTAGAATGTAAAATTGGTGAAGTAAACATCTTTACAAAATGGATAATATGTTGACGTCACACATTATAGCCAATCAAAATGCACAGAAGCTTTCAAAATCACTTTCCGTGTTTAAGCGAGTGAGACACAGCCAGCCTTCACCCAAGACATAAAAATACAATGTATGCAGTACACATACATGTGAGTTTTACAACAATACTAAAGCATAATTGCAATTTTCGGCTCTACCTGTGGATGAAAGAGCGAAGCGAGTGGTAAAAATGTACGTGAGCAGCGTACATACCGTGCCGCAGTGAGTCCACACATGACATCACACAGTGGGCCGGGGTGAGCAACCGAGTCATTTATTGCGATGGTCGCATTCTAGTGAAGTTCAGAAGCATCGCACAATGTGCGGCGGCCTTAAACGGAGTCTTTCAATGGTTAAGTGCAAGTGATGGCATACATTAACGGTAATATGGAAAATATGTTTTTTGAAGAATTAATTTGTTTGTGTGTTGGTGGTTCTTGTGTCTTTCCAGGCATTTCATGCATGGCTCAGGATTGCTCCCTGCAAATGCCGGAAGATTTTGTCCTGCCTCTACTGCCAGGAGAGGAGCTGAAGGACAAGTACAGACGCTACCTCTTCAGAGACTATGTGGAGGTGTGTGTTTGTTTGTCCTTTCTTAATCTACAGTCAGGTCCCGGAATACTAAGTCAGCGACACAATTCTCTTCTCTCTGGCTTTAAAGACCCCCACAATTGATTTGAACTGAATTGAGCAAGACGTGCTGCAACTGGAGACTTTTAGCTTCAATTACCGAGTATTTATATCCAAGTCAGGTGACCATTGTCGGAATTACCAACAGTTTGTATATTATGTACCTTCCACTTTTTAAAGGATCAAAAGTAATGGGACAATTGCCTGCTCAGCTATTCCAGGGCCATGAGTTTATTTCCTCATTATCCTATTTACAAGAAGCAGATAAAAAAAAGTCCAGAGTTCTTTTCAAGCATGCTATTTGCATTTGGAACCTGTTGCTGTTAACTCTCAACATGACATCCAAAGAGCTGTGTTGTCAAAGGCAACAATCTTCACCGGAGTGACTACAGAGGGTTGACCACAAGGTGTAAACTGTTGGTGAGCCTCGAAAACAGGAAGGCGAGGTTAGAGCTTGCCAAACATCTAAAGAAGCTTTTGCAAGTCTGTAACAACATTGGATGAGATAAAGATGAACATGTAACTGCGCCATGGGCAAGAGAAGAGCATGAAGAAGGGAAGAAACTGCTCACGATCCAAAATATACCAGCTCATCGGTCAAGCATGGTGGCACTGCTGCTAATGTCATGTGGTGGGCATGGCTGCCAAAGAAACCGGTTCTCTTGTTGATGTAGGTCTCTCTCTCTCTCTCTCTCTCTCTCTCACCCCCCCCCCCCCCCATTTGCCAATTGGAATGATTGTGTAAGACCATTTTCTGGTGTTTTGGGTTGGGCCCCCTATCCTAATGAAGTTCAATGTGTGAAACACATTAAGGTTGCCCGGAAGCATCCTGCTCGTCTTTACCTGATCTTCATTTCTCCAACTGCAGAGTCACTTCCAGTTGCAACTGTGTCCGGGTGCAGACTGTCCCATCGTCATTAAGGTGCAGGAGCCACGGGCGCGCAGGGTGCAGTGCAATCGTTGCAGTGAGGTCTTCTGGTAGGTTCCACAACACACACCAACACAGCATCCATAAACATGCAGAGCAAATAAATGGAAAGAAACAAATTTAAATATATAAATTGAATTCTTCATTGTAACATTCTAGAAAAGTCACTGTTGGTTTGTGCATTGGGCTCTGTGTGTATTTTTATTTATTATTATTATTTATTAATTAATTAATTAATTAATTTTTTAATGTTTCTGTAATGCACCTAAGCATTTTCTGATTCTCGATGGTCTCTACTTTTTTTTAACTACAGGTGGTTTAACCCAAGAGGTTCAGTAATAATATTCCAAAGCTTCAAATGAAGATAATTTGTATGCAGTTGAGGTTTAATGTTGAATTTCTCTCCTTTGTTTCTTACCGTTCTTAGTTTTAAATGCCGTCAGATGTACCACGCACCCACAGACTGCGCGACCATCCGGAAATGGCTCACAAAATGCGCCGACGACTCGGAGACGGCCAACTATATCAGCGCACACACGAAAGATGTATGAGCCGCCACGTGGTTTCCATCTTGACTTGCAACGTAAAAAAAAAAAATTGAAATATGAAACAACTGTGTGTCATATTTCAGTGTCCTAAGTGCAATATCTGCATTGAGAAGAATGGAGGGTGCAATCACATGGTAAGTAACAGCCGAAAAGGCAATGCTTAAAATATATTCTCTTTCATTAGTTTTCAGTTTTACACTTAAGTCTTTTTTTTTTTTTTTGGTAAAATGGAGTGTTTCAATGCTCAGGTACTATTGCCACTGTTTGTTTAAATCAACAAATGTATCTTGTTTGTTTATTCCAGCAATGCTCCAAGTGCAAACACGGTAAGTGTTTGACTCCTCTTGTATAATTCAGTACACGGAATGTCATGTTCAGACATCACGTATTCTAAACAAGACAAAAAAAATGTGTGCAGGAAATAAACAAGCTTTTTATTTTCATTTTTTTCACTTGACCACAACAGTCAGTCAGTTGCACTGATTGCTTATGCCCGATGATTTATACGGTGAAGCGTGCATGTAATTTGCCAAAACAATTTCAAATTTATGAGGGGAAACTCATCACAGGAGAAAAGAATGCAATTGCACGGGGATTTAAATAGTAATGGCATCGTCTAGAAGCTATATTAAGACTGATTTGTGTGTTGTGTTATGGCAGTATAAATTGGGAATCGGGGAGCGAGGGGGGGGTGGTTAAAGGGCATAGAATCAGAGAATTGTATCTGCCCGTTCCGCTGTATTTTGGATTTTTTTTTTCTGCCAATAATCTGCATCGGCCTCAGAAAATCAATATCGGTCAGGTCGTAAACTCCAGTCCTCCTCCATGCTAGTCCAACAATGTAGACATTTGCTCAAAACTGGCCTGAAAATTGTTTGATTGTAATCGGCCTGTGACCTAACATTTCATTTTCAGACTTCTGCTGGATGTGTCTCGGTGACTGGAAGACTCATGGCAGTGAATACTACGAGTGCAGTCGTTACAAAGAAAACCCCGATATAGTCAACCAGAGCCAGCAGGCTCAGGCCAGAGAGGCTCTGAAGAAATACCTCTTCTACTTTGAGCGGGTGAGGAAGCAACGAGTGGAGGGAGGGAGGGAGGGATGGACGGAGGGAGGGGGGGGGGGGGGAGAGAGAGAGAGAGAGAGAGAGAGAGAGAGAGAGAGAGTGGATGGGGGGGGGGGCTTCCTCAAAACCCGCACTTGGATTTTGCTGATTGTCTGCCTGCCAATATTTGAATGCCGAGAAAATTCTGAAGATGGCCAGTGGTCTGCAGTTTACAAATGTCTTGTGTGTTTCCTGCACCAGTGGGAGAACCACAACAAGTCTCTGCAGCTGGAGGCTCAGACATACCAGAAGATCCAGGAGAAGATCCAGGAGAGAGTGATGAACAACCTGGGAACCTGGATTGACTGGCAGTACCTTCACAACGCTGCAAAGCTTCTCGCCAAGGTACTATTTGTTTGTATGTTTATGTTTTAGATGCTTTTATTGGAGGGGGTGGGTTGTTTTGTTTGTTTCTGTTGGGGTCTCTTTAATGCAGTATTGGGAAGCCGTAATTGAATTTAAAGTTTTACATACAATGATTTCAAAATCAGAAGCGCAGTAAGCTTGACTGCTCAATTGGAATTAAAATAAGTGATATTGATCAGTTAATTTAGTCTTGAAATCTCCTTGAATCTTCCATACTTACTTTGTAATATTAAGGGACCTGCCAGAACACTTCTCATGTTGCGATAGTTTTTGCATCTGTGCCGACGTTACTGTTGAAAGCGGTGTACTGTGCCTGTACCAACAAGTCCGACAGAGGTCGTTTTGCACCAGTAGGTCGCAGGGCATTTGATTAGCAATTTCTGTGTTTGACTAACGTACCTTCTGTGTTGTCTTTTTGCTTCCAGTGTCGCTACACACTGCAGTATACGTATCCTTATGCCTATTACATGTCCGGCCCACGCAAAAAACTGGTGAGAGACTGTTCTCCTGTCACCTGATACGCAAACTTCAGTTTCTTTTGACCAAAAATAAATAAATCCCTGAAAGAGGAAGTTGCTGCACTCCCTAATCCAGTATTTCTGTTTCTTTGTTTGTTTTTTTAATTCAGCCTTTCCTTATATGCTGCTAGTGTTATGGGTGGTAGGTCAGTATTGTGCCAACAGATTTGCTGTACTTTAGGCGAGTTTGGTGTACTCTCCTCCTGTTTGAATGCTCGCATTGCTTTATTTGGTTAAGAGACTATAGAAAGTGAAAAGAGAGAGACAAAAAACATCAACAGCAACAGTGCCTGACATCATGTGGTTTCTTAGTGGAGAGAGACAGAGACAAGGGAGGGACCAGAAAGAGCACAAACTCAGGACAGTACAAAACAAGAGCCATTATGACACCTGCTGCTACATGTTGTGAAAGGGGATAAGCGGCACGAGGAGATGCAGCAAAAAAGCAATATCAAAAGACCACAATAGAAATCACACGTGCTAAGATGTGTTTTGAGAGGGGGCAAATGGAGAGAGATGAGACAAAAGCGCAGGTGTGTGCTGATTTGGTTTTCCTTTGTTGCAGTTTGAGTACCAGCAGGCTCAGCTGGAGGCAGAGATTGAGAACTTGTCCTGGAAAGTGGAGCGGGTGGACAGCTACGAGAGGGCAGTGGTGGGAGGCGAGGTCGATCTCAGTGCCAGCGACAGAGGGGTAAGACGGGATCTTTGATGTACACCGTCATAGGAATCGAGCTCCATTGCGAGTAGTAAAAAAAAAACGTGAGTAATTGATGCCTCCCGCAAAGAAGTTTATAATTGCCTATAGGAATAGTTTAAATCATAAAATTACTCCAAACAGTGATTCCAAAACTCAAAAGGATTTTTTTTTTTTTCCCAATGTGGCGACGACTCTCTTGTAACTTCTTTCACCTCCCACTGCGCTAAACCGAACTGCACCCAGATTTAGAATGCTTGACTCTCAGTTAAGAGGTGTCACTTCAACATAGTTCTTGTGTAAGAGAAAAGTCTTACTATTCATGCCCACATGGCTTTGGTACTATCTTTGAGCCTTTTAGAAAGAGCTCGACAACATGGAGATGGCAAGGGTTTTCAACGACAGAGGACCCCCCCCCCCACCCCAAAAAAATCTGTAAATCGCAAGTATCAAGTTGTGAATAAGCGAGGGAATCACTGGACCCATTTAGAGAACTAAGTGACAAATAAATATTGTGAGATATATACACGGAATGAGGATACGTTTGAAATTCCGTTCTGATGAATGGGGTGGGACCGAAATCAGATTATTCGATTTTTAATTCATTTTCAATGGGGAAAATGGACAAGAAAACTGAGATAAGGGCATAGTTCAACTTGAATTCAACTTGTAAGTCAGGGCATCACTGCAGCGTGAGGCATGTTGGGTACGTTCAACCTCAGGGAAACTTTTGAGCTTCCTTTTGTCCGTGTGAACAGGATCTGGAGAATCAGATGCACATAGCTGAGCTGAGGCGACGCACGCTGCTGAAGGATTTCCACGACACCTGAAGCGCCATTTGGACTGCCGAGCACCAGCATCTCTTTTTGTCCTTCCTTCGCTACCTTCCCTTTCTTACTTGCACCCACCCCACTTTTGCTTCCTTCAGTGACCATCCCCGGGGCGCAGTCCCTGTGGTGCCCCTTTTCCTCGGTAACGATCACTTGCTATTTCACTTTGTCTTTTTCTCTCGTCCCTATCTCACTCCTAAAATGCTGCAGGGTCACGGAATGGCACGATTGTATTCCCCCACCCCTCCTCCTCATGCTCTTTCACCATATTTTGGCTTTAACACAGTCACCCGAGTCGATTCTCTTGATCAGAGCACACCGTTAGGATTCAGTGTGTGTCTCAAATATCTTTTGTTCCTCTCCTGCATCATACTGGTGACACATAAAACAAAAATAACCCCCAAAATAGGAAAGGTCAAATCAATTTCTACTTTTTCCTCAACAAGGATTTTGCGACGAATGCTAAGACCATAAAGCCTAGTGGACACTTTGGGGCAGTTGTATTGCTCACATTTACATCTTACGTGTATTTATGTTTTCATCTAGTCGGCTAATTTAATTTATAAGTGCAGTAGTCAAAAGCATCTGCATTCTTTTTACATGACGTACATGACAAAATGCAGCATTTCCATGTGCATGATTGTTGTTCGCATAGAGAACATACTGAAAATGAATACGCAGTTTGTTTGTTTTGGGGTTTTTTTTGTCTTGTTTTATTTTAGGTCCACAATAGATTTTTTTTTTTTTTTTTTTTGGTATTGCCAAACCTGACTTTACTTTTGACCACAACTGCCAGGAAAAAAAAATGCTGGTTGTTATGATCTTAGGAAAAACAAATGGGCTCTTAGAGGCAATCTGCTCATGTTACTTCAAGCAGGGTGGGCAACCTACGGACCATTTGCCATCTGAGAGACCATTTGCCTCTGACCTGCCATCAAAGTCTGCAAACAATATTAATGTCTCATGTTATAAAAAGCCCCCACCCCCAATTAAATCCACAAATGCTCAAAATTGATCAAGAACTCTTTTTCAAAATGCTAAACGGTAAATTCATTTTGAGTATTCTGAGAAACCTGACCTGCATATTTACAAACATGGATTTTATCCTGTTGAACCGATTCAGCACATCTGCCTCACATTTCTCAGGTGGATAAAACCCTTAATTTGCTCAGTCTGAATATGTTAAAAAAAGATAATACCGATTAGTCTGTACACCAAAGAATGGCATGACAAAATGTTTTCCTTCCCACTCGGCATTTATCTCATTTTGGAAAAATAGCGCTTCACTCAATAATATGCATTTGTTTGCTCATATCATATCATATCTTTTGCTCTGAAGTTACGATTGGTTCTTGGAGGACCTCAACTCGCCTCTTAAAGGAATAATGTTCCCCACCCATGTTTACAAGCTTGATGTGCACCTCAGTCAACAAATTCTGGTCTTTGCGCCTTGATTATGACAGATCAGAGCCGTAGTCTGTTTCACTTCACTTACTGACACGACTCAAACACACAATTATGGATTCACTCCGCTAAACTTTCATTGTACTCGTCCCTGCTAATTTGGAAGCTCTCCTCTATTTTCATTTCATTTTTGGGCTATGGTTTTCCTCCTCTCTTCCTTGCTCACATTGTTCACTGTTCTTCTGGAAAAAAAATGGCTGTTGATAGATGGTTTGGAAAAAAAAAAGAATAAAGAAAAAGCTACCAAAAAAGTGCTGTAATTTTCAACGGTTGTACATTAATACACAAAATAGAGTTACTGAGAGAGTTTTTAAAACTGAAACCTTGTCTTGTGTATTGATTGCAATATGCTACATGTCACATGCGCAGCTCAAACAACAGAATGAAAGTGTCAGACACTCTGCTCACCTTTGATATTTTTCACACTGGCACCGAATAACACGGCCAAAATTACCCCACAGTCGGATGTAGTTAATGTACAACTGGGCCAAGAAGGAATTAACTGCTCAGTCAGACTTTGTTGTTGTGACCCAGTTTCAGCCCACAATAAAGTGCATATGAAAAAAAGCGAGCATTGATATTCACATAACTCAATTGGGTATCCCGCTTTTGTGCACAAAGTAGTAAGGTGTGAATGCATGAAACATTTTTATCTGCACAAGAACATTATAGTGACCCGGCAAAGTATTCACTTAGTACAGTACCTGTTCCATTCTTTGATCTTGTCCGCCAAAGTTTTTGTCATGAGTCATGAAATTTCTTTTTGGGGGGGGGGGGGGTTGGCCCTCAGGGACCACAGTTGCCCATCCCGAGACTCGCGGCACAATTTTCAATTTTAGAGCTGCTCACTAATAATTAATAATCAAATATGCCAATTATTTTTGTTTACTTGATAAATCCTATTAAAAATAGTCATGTCCAAATTTTCATTGCTTTTTTCAACTGCAAAAATAAGATATTTCTGCAGAAAATGCAAAAAAACAAAACAAACATCGTGATTCAGTTAGTGGTTCGAGCAGCACACTAGCTTTTCCTACAGTAGCAAAAAAGACGGAAAGAAACAGAGTTTTGTAACGATGATGATAAAAATCATTGTCACAAAAAAATGTAACACTGTTAACAGTCGCGCCAATCCACAGGGGCCGCGCCTGTGGGGGCCACGGCCCCGAGACAAAGTGGTGGATGTCCATTATTTTCCTTTAGGAAATTAATCAATTAAAATACACACTGATTTTTACAATTCGCGGTCCAGCCCAGTCTCTATCCCCCTCCAATAGCGGGGGTCCACCACGTATTGACAGAAATAACCTTGTTTTCGTTCACTGGACTCGTTCGACGTTGTGGGGTCGGACGTGACGTCATTACGAGCCGTCAGACAGGAAGCACATGGCGGATTCCCGACGTCAGAGAGGGTTTCGGCACGCTTCTTCGTTTCCATTCGGAACCGCTTTGACACTTGGACCGCGCACGCTGCGAAGGGGGTTCCAGAAGAAAATTCAAGGTATTTTCTTGCGTGGTCTATGTATAAACATTGACATAGCCTCGCCATTTTTTAAAGCAAATTACTTGTGCATAGAACCGTGAGGGTGTCGTTAGAGCTCATGGCAGAATACGTTCTGAGCGGACAGACCGACGATACTGTCCCAGAGGACGGACTGACGGGACAACAGCTGGTAAACGGAGGAGATGGACTCACATACAAGTAAGTTGGTAGGCTTTGTCGCGTTCATGTGGGATAGACCCATGACTTGACTCGAAATCTTCATTTTCATCACTCCTCACTGAGTAGAAACAGGTTTACTGCTCCAGTGCGTAAAACAAGGTCTATAAAGTTAGGATTGGATGAGTTGGGTGTAGAAGAACAACACATTTGGGATGAACTCTGAACGAAACACGAGTCAGATAAAAGTTTTGTGAGACACGCTGATTCATAATGCCCAACAGCGAGTTGCATTGATAACCATATTGTAATCCCCAGTATTAAAAAAAAATAGAAGTGTTGAATGGTGACTCAATGTTTACATTGACACTTTTAACATCTTAAAGTTAATGAGTGATGCACAATTACATTGATATTAATAGTGTAACCGCTTAACTGGTCAAGGTGCAACCTTTTTTTTTCGTAACTCTTTAGAAGCCAGGAAGTATTGAAAACCTCAGAGTCAACCAACCCGGTTCTACATTTTGTTTTATTACTTTTAAGTTGATCAGTATGAATTAAAATGAAGTCACATGCTGTCGTGGGCATCATTTCTTTTTTCAGTTGCGTTGTGGGTCCGCATGCGCTGAAAGAAGACACAAGGATTACTGTCATTTCAAACCTTCCCAGAAGTTCGGTCACAATTTTGTGGCCTTTTCCCTCCAAATAACGTTAAGTGCTGTACAAAATAGAAGAATGGATACAACTTCAATGAAGTAACTCTACTCACCCGTTTAAGATCAGAACTGGGCATGAAGGTGTTTGCAGACTTTTGTGTGGTTTGTTTGATGTTTGAAAGATGTAATGGAAAGCACTCTGAAGTCTTGTACTTTGGAGGCTCCACTACAGGCGACTCTTGTGAGCTAAACCCCTCTTGTGTTCTCGCTTTCAGTGACTTCCTCATTCTGCCGGGCTACATTGACTTCACTGCCGATCAAGTGGTGAGTCGGGATGGTCATCGCATGTTTACCAACATCAACACAGCGAATCTGATTAACGCAAATGGGGCGGTATTAAAACGGCAGTAAGCTGAGTATGAGATGATGTTTGGGAGAGCGAATAGAGGATTACAAATGTCCCCTCATCGTGAATGATTCAAACCACAGGAGAATCTTACAATGCCCCACTCTGAGGCAGCACATGAACAGAACAGCGAGCAGGTTGGAGGCGTTCTGTAGCCCAGGGGTCCCCAACCGCCGGTCCGCGGACCGGTACCGGTCCGCCGGGCATTTGGTACCGGGCCGCACAGAAAGAACTTGCCTTCATTCCGTTTTATTTATTTCGGAAAACGAAAGATGTTTTATTTTGAAAAACTACCGGATTCTCCGTTACATCCGTCTGTGTCACACTTGACACACATCAAGCCACGCTTCTCCGTCACGTGACCGATTACTTCAAAACAAAACACAGGAGCTCGCAAAATGAGTAAAAAATACTGCTGGAGATCGCAAATGACGGCGGCCTTAAAAGTACGTTCGAGACAACTGGATTAAAGTTATGGCTGAATACTCTGAGATCGCCACAATAGCACTGTTGCTATTTCCGACATCCTACCTGTGTGAGGAGGGGGTTTTCTGCAGCAACGGCGACTAAAACAAAATTACGAAGTAGACTGGACATAAACCACACACTTGAGGTGTCATTGTCTCCTATTACCCTGAGATGGGACCGTCTGGTTGCAGAAAATCAAGCTCGGTGCTGTGGTGAGTCGTCATTTTCATGCACTTTGAATTTGCGTTGTATTGTATTTTGAAGGCATTAAACATTGCCATAGCGATCGGAGTGTTGCGGCCAGATTAGACGCTCCTTGTGTTTATTATTATATTTCGAAAACACCACAGTTTTCATGTAGCTCATACCATATTATTTTGTTGTATTATTTCCACCACACCTTAAATGCCGGTCCCTGAAAATATTGTCTGACATAAACCGGTCCGTGGGGCAAAAAAGGTTGGGGGGCCCTGCTGTAGCCTATCCAAGCTGACTTCGGGCAGAAGGTGGGGGGGGGGGGCACGGGAACTGGTTGCCAGCCAATTGCAGGGCACACATAGACGAACAACTATTTGTGCTAACAATCACAATTTTAGAATGTTCCATTAAACCTGCCATGAATGTTTTTGGAACGTGGGAGGAAACTGGAGTACCCGGAGAAAACCCACGGAATCGAACCCTGTGAACCCCGGTGGACGTGCTAACAAGTCGTCCACCGTGCCACACCAAATAAAGTATTATTTTACCCTCTAGATAGGATATAATAGAAAAAAAAATTACGTTGCTGAGTAACTAATAGTATGTACACCAGTCCATCCATTTTCTCTACCGCTCATTCATTTGGGTCTGGGCAAGAAGTGGGGTACAGCTTAGAGGTGTCAAGATTCATCGACAACTACAGTATGTGAAGAATCAAGTTATCGTTTGGAGGCTTTGTTTAATTGTTCAAATCCCTATTTTGATTTAGTGACTGATTGCAGATGTCAATTCTCCCTCCCGTCAACAGGACCTGACCTCGGCGCTCACCAAACAAATCACAATGAAAACTCCCTTTGTATCATCCCCCATGGACACGGTCACGGAGGCCACCATGGCCATCGCGATGGCAGTAAGCATGACGTCGAATGCTCCCACGCTCATCCAAGTACACTCATTGGCCTACGCCGTCAAGCCGACCTGCACCATCTCATGAGATTAGAGACGAGACCTACATAAAATAGTCTACACGTCGAACCATTATCATGATCTGCTTTGATCTCAGAGAGATGTTAATTCAACAATATGCTTGTGCCTCTCCAAATAATTTTGATGCACATTCAGGCCATGGGTGAGGTCCATACTCTTTGTCTGGTCTGCCAATGCAGAATGTTTCACACAGGTTTTGTGTTGCATCATGTGCGAGTGTACCCAATGTTGTGGGCAGTGAGGGTGTGCTGTCTGACAATTTGTCTGCTCTTTTCCCAAGTTAACAGGTGGGATCGGCTTCATCCACCACAACTGCACCCCAGAGTTCCAGGCCAATGAAGTCCGGAAAGTCAAGGTATGGAGTAGTGACTGATTTCCAAATACGGTGGTACCTTGAAATCACGAGTGTCCTCACTTTTTGAAATTTGAGCTGTCGATTGGCCGTTTTTTTGATTTGCCAGCAATAATTTGAAATATGAGTGCTGAATGGTGATAGCCAACCCAACTCGCGTTACAGCAAGCAGCAGTTTAGCAGATAGTGAACAATGTTTTCCAAAAATAGGCTTCAAGCTTTTAACTCATTCACTCCCAAAGACATTTTTACACGTCTTTTCAGACTTGGTCTAGAATTGGCTGGTACTGAATGAGTTAATTGCCACTGCCACTTGTACCCCTTTCCCACTGAAATTAGCGGGCAGTAGTGATCCGTGGCGACACACAACCAATCGGCAATATGTCCCTTTTCCATTGACCAACAGAAGGCGATTCTGCGCCCCACACCACCACCACCACTTTACGTCTGGTTACGTCACCACGCTGTGATTGCGTAGATGATAGTGCGACAGATTTCTTGGTGGGAAACAAAGCAACATGGAAGCGAGTGTTCTTTCTCTTATGCTTGTTACCGTCCTCAAAATGGTCTAAAAGCAGCGGAGGATCAACTCTTTGCTACTACTGAGACAACAGCTTAAGGGGCGATCTCCTAACTTTGTTGTGGGGGCGTGCTATATACGAGGCCGATGGCGCGCGATGTTATGACTCATCACGTACTGCCCTATGTCATCACGTAATTACCGGGAAGTCCCGTGTTAGGCTTTCAAACTGCAAGCGGAGGCGATCCGAAGCGATCACAACCCGCCTCCGATGGCGTGCTGGTGGACACGGATCGACACTGGCCAGTGAGCCTTTCCCACTGCCCAAAAAAGCGTGTTTACCCGTGATTTTGCGGTAGTGGGAAAGGGGCATTGAAGTTTACTGTCAAACTAAACATAAAACAAAGAGGATTACACATTGTGTACTAGCACAACCGCCCATCTCTTTTTTTCCAACAATTTTACCAATCAGTGTTCTTTGTCTCATTTGTTCACTGTCCAGTAGAAATATAGTTTTTTGTCTCTTTCCCGTCCATGTTTTTCCCCCCGCTGCAGAGGTACGAGCAGGGCTTCATCACAGACCCGGTAGTGATGAGCCCTCACCACCTCGTGCAGGACGTCTTTCAGGCCAAGGCCCGCCACGGCTTCTGTGGTATCCCCATCACGGAAGACGGCAAAATGGGGAGTAAGCTGGTTGGCATCATTTCTTCGCGAGACATCGATTTTCTCAAGCCGCAGGAGCACAACCTGCCTCTCAGCCAGGTATCTGATATCTCACTAATACTGAAGATGGGATTAGATGATGGGGTTTGTTTAGACCTGGGCAAAATTTTTGGCACCTTTCCATTCAAGAAAAAATGTTTTAAACTGAAACAGAGTCTAGAAATCGCCAAAAATGCAAAGAGAATGTCCTCTTGATTGGTCCACCTCCTGTTACACATGAAACAAGTTGTGTTTTGGGGTTGCTTTGCTACATCCAGCACATGGCCTTGTGAAATCGTGACAGGCACAATGAAATCTCAAGACCGTCAGGGCACTCTGGAGTTGAAAAGTTAATAATAGTAGAATTACTCAAGTTGGAGAAGGGTGTGATGGAGGCCTGGAAAGAACTACAACTATTTTTGGATTCTACCGGAAGTATTATTTTTGTTTGTGTAGTTCATTGTGTGTGACCTTTTTGACAGGTTATGACAAAGCGAGAAGATCTCGTGATTGCTCCTGCTGGCGTGACACTGAAAGAAGCCAATGAAATCCTACAACGGAGTAAGAAAGGTGAAGTTAATTTTGAGGTTGCTGGTGTTCACCCTTTTTTGCACACCGATAAAATCCAATCTGACAAAACAAGCTAGACAACTGCAGCGCACATCCCAGGCCAGTTGTTGGCAATATCCCTTCATAAATATTAAGCACCTGCACACCAACTGATTGTCCCCTTAGGTCCTGTCCGTGAATAAAATTTGCACATGTAAATATGTTTCAAACTTTGACACCCTTTTGTATGTTTTGTTTTCCATCAGAAACCAACAGCAACTTAATCCATGTTCCTTTTCCAGGCAAACTTCCTATTGTGAATGAAGACGGCTGCCTGGTGTCCATCATTGCCCGAACCGACCTGAAGAAGAACAGAGACTTCCCTTTGGCCTCCAAAGACTCCCGCAAGCAGCTCCTGTGTGGCGCCGCCATTGGCACGCACAATGATGACAAATACCGCCTGGACCTGCTGGTGCAGAGCGGAGTGGATGTGATTGTACTGGTGAGGATGACGACATGTAAAGTGCACATTTGTTCACCGACAGGTTACCCTTTTCCACCACAGGGTACTTGCTCATCTTGACATGATTTTATTCTATTGACGCTTTACTATTGGCAAAAACCGGTCCGATTTCTAATCCTTGACAAAATTCCACCGTTAAGGGGCAGTCTGGAGCACAGTACAGTACATTACCGTATTTTCTGCACTATAAAGCACTTCGGATTATCAATGAATGGCCTATTTCAAAACTGGTTTCATACGTAGGGCACACTGCATTATAAGGCGCATAGAATAGAAGCGACAATAGTGGCTGCGGTTGCGCGATGCATCCACTAGATGCAGCTACATTAAAGCAAATACAATACACTACAGCTTTATTTATATAGAACAAAGCCACGCGGAACTGGTCATAAACACAGACATAAAACATATAAATACAAATGTCATTCCAAAACAATAAATGAAAAACAAAAGTTGATTCAACAAAAAGGCACACAAACCTCCTGGGCTCACATCCGCTCGGGGCTAAATATTCTTCGAAGTCTTGTCTCCTTCTTCCTTTGTTTAGTCAGTAGTTAACTATGCTTTTGGTGTTATCTTTGTTTCATAATGGCCGCGCACAGCTCACAAAGTAGTTGTCTGTTGGTGAATGCACATGTCAATTAGTGTAGGGCAGAAGTCTTTTAGGTTACAAGTCGTTCCTGCTAATAATCACCACTAGATGGCATAGTAACAGTTTTGGGAAAATTGAATGCTTTTAGGTGCGCCTTACAGAGCGGAAAATATGGTACATTACATCGTTATTTATATCGCGCTTTCACAGCAGCTGCAGGTGTAACAAAGCGCTACTTAGCTTACCCTGTTGCCGTCTTAGCTTCAGATGTAGCATTATTGTACTTCACTGTTTTCACATTGCTGCAGTTGTGTGTTATCTCACTACCCTTAGCCTCGATTGATTAAAATGTGGCCCTATACACTGACCAACAGCCCCGTTTTGATGAGTAAATATACAGTAGGAGACCGTGATTCTCCACTGTCGATGTTTGATACTGTGTCTGGTAGCAACTAATACATTGAATGTGGCATCGTTTTTGCAGTCTTTTCCCACTGTGAAAGCTGCCCCGAAACGAGGTGTAGAGTTCAGCAGATACTGTACAGTGGGAAAGCTGCCTAAGAGCCATATGGGAGAACTTGCCTCTTGATTCCGTATACTTTGTTTTGTCTCATTTAAATGAAAATAATAATAATGTGTGATGTTCCAAAAAATGAATGTTGTTACATTCTCCACTTACAGGATTCTTCTCAGGGTAACTCAATATTCCAGGTCAACATGATCAAATATGTCAAAGAGAAGTACCCAAGCCTGCAGGTCATTGGTGGCAATGGTAAATAAACACACATTTTTCAGGATTTGTTCTAACATGATTTTAAATATTCTGAATAAGATTTTCTGTAAATAACACTTACTTTCGCCAACATTTTTTATTTGGTCTCGTCATTCAGTGGTGACCACCGCTCAAGCGAAAAACTTGATCGACGCAGGAGTGGACGGACTGAGAGTCGGAATGGGCAGCGGGTCCATTTGCATCACACAGGAAGGTGAGTGACTGCACCGCAAAGTCAACAGACCACCACTCGCACTCCTCCCCAGAAAAATCGCGTTGGGAATGTGTATAATACATATTGCGTATAATACATCATAAGATGTACAATACATTTTGACAGCACTTACTGTATTTCAATATCGGTTTAAAGTTTCATCAAAGTCTCTGCAGATTTCAAATGAATACCAAAAATTGATTGGATTTATTTTCCATGTCAAAGGCTGTAAACGCAGTCATGTTCAGGCTAGACTTTCTTCACATCTCGCTGGCAAAACGCTGCATCCCTTTTGTCTTCCGAACAGTGCTGGCCTGCGGCAGACCGCAAGCCACTGCGGTCTATAAGGTGTCGGAGTACGCCAGACACTTTGGTGTGCCCGTCATTGCCGATGGTGGCATTCAGAATGTCGGACACATCGCCAAAGCACTGGCACTTGGAGCATCCACAGGTAGAAGTCTTGTTCGGTTTTAACCATGCTTCCCGTATAAAGTAGTTGAAATTGAATGAATTCGGGTGGCATATCCGCCTCACGCTTTTGAAGTTTGTAATTCGAATCTTGGCTACGGATTTCCCGTCTGCAGTTTGCTCAGGTAACGACCAATCATGGCTCACTTGTTTTGTGAAGCTGAAAAAAATCAAATCAATCTCACCTTTAGCCACTCGCTGCTAATGTTAGTCTCTTGGCCATTATTTTTCGACAAATACGGTGAATAAGGTTGTATTAAGTGAGTTTACCGTTTTTGGCATATTATACACAAGCACTACTCGCAAAAATTCTGGGATATTTAGCTTTTGGGTGAAATTTCAGGATGGACCTAAAATGCACTCCAAGGAGAACGTAACCTTAACTTTTTAAAAACTTTTGAATGTGGAACTATTCAATGTTTCAGTACTTTTTGCACGACTCCTTGTTCTCTAATAAGTAGCTTAATGGCAAAATTAACAGATTCATTTGGCAAACATCTCTTCACTTTTTTTTTTCAGAAGCCTGTTTTTTTTTTTTTTTTTTTAAAAAACAATTTAATGTTTGTGTAGCTCAACCTAAACTAAATGAAAATGACAAAAAGGACAATGGATGCACATTAGTTCACAAACCACTTTTCTCGCAATTCAGTCATCTAACTGCCCTTGCATCTTTGTGCAGTGATGATGGGCTCTCTGCTTGCCGCCACCAACGAAACTCCTGGTGAATATTTCTTCTCTGATGGCATCAGGCTAAAGAAGTACCGTGGCATGGGCTCCCTGGATGCCATGGACAAAAACTTGGGCTCTCAGACGAGATACTTCAGGTGACAAAACGTACTCATCAACCTTGTTGGGAGTCTTGAGTGGAGAAAAAAAAAAGAGCACATCAAGTTGACCACCGGGTGGCAGTAATGAGCCCGTGCACTCACTGCGACTCATGAATGAGATCAGAAATACGGAGGTGTCATACCAAAGATATGTTGCGTGAAATTATCACACTAATCAAACTATTCAAGGTCACACAATCCTTTTTCATAGACGTCAGGCCTTTCAACATGATCTTTTTTCAGCATATAGCTGAAGACAGGTTGCACGGTAAAAACACAAATGGTGATTTTTGTAACGAGCGAAACGTGACCTGGTGGAGATTCATTAGATATTGTTGCTGTTGGGTGAAATCCTTCCAGCTCCAATAGCACTACTTTTGATGAGGGGAAAAAAAAATATCCGTCTTGCTGGAGGTACCAAACACCACATCATCCATGTTGGTCTGACCATTGATTGCTATCATATACAATTTCTTTGGACAACTAACTCTTGTACATGTTTGTGTCCACAGTGAAAGTGACAAGATCAAAGTTGCTCAGGGTGTTTCAGGAGCTGTGCAGGACAAAGGCTCCATCCACAAGTTTGTTCCCTACCTACTGGCTGGCATTCAACACTCCTGCCAGGATATCGGCACCAAGAGTCTCACTCAGCTCAGGTACACACCGACGGCACCACTTGCAGGGGCTGCATTTTGCACGTGCTGTGACATCATCGTGCACATGGATAATCGTCACAAGCTCAACTTTGTGGCGTTACGAACACGCATTTCCGCTTATTACTGCACTCCCTTTCTACACAGCTTTTTTTCCCTTGTACAGAAGGCTTGCACTGTTTCCAACTTATGATGCTCTGTCACAAAATTGATAATAAATTAAAAAAAAAAAAAAACTGCTGTTTATGCGTAAAGTGTTTAACGTATTATGGCCCAAAACATTTCTGGTCTACTGTTACGATGCAGGGCGGCCCGGTGGTCCATGGTTAGCGCGTTGACCTCACAGTGCAGAGGTACTGGGTTCGATTCCAGCTCCAGCCTCCCTGCGTGGAGTTTGCATGTTCTCCCCTGGCCTGCGTGGGTTTTCTCCGGATAATCCGGTTTCCGCCCACATTCCAAAAACATGCATGGCAGGCTGATTGGACAATCAAAATTACCCCTAGGCGAGAGTGTGAGCGCGGGTGGTTGTTTGTCTCTGTGTGCCCTGCGTTTGGCTGGCAACCGGTTTAGGGTGTCCCCCGCCTACTGCCCGAAGACAGCTAGGATAGGCTCCAGCACCCCCCGCGTCCCTTGAGGATAAAGTGGATCAGAAAATGGATGGATGGATGGATGGATGTTATGATGTAAAGCATACAGACCAGTCTAGTTATCTGGACCAGATCTTTCAACCTGCGAATACACTTCTGAATTAACCGAGATTTATTATTATTTTTTTTTTTTCTATGACCACTGGAGTGTGGACATCAAATGAACCCCGTGCGAAGCATCACCTTGTGTCTTTGAGGTGTAGCTGAGCGCTGACAAAATGCCTTTTTGTCTTGTGTCAGAGCCATGATGTACAGTGGAAACCTGAGATTTGAAAAGAGAACGGCATCGGCTCAAATGGAGGGTGGTGTCCACAGTCTGCACAGGTACGCACTTGCACCAGACCACACCTCAAGCGATTGCGCAAGCAGGTCCCGCCATTTGGGCACTGTACAGGTTCTTTGTTTCGACGGTTGCTCAGGCTTTCTCTTTAAATAAACACACGGAAGCCATTTTTCATGACAAGAAATGCCATGTGGTCAGTCCTGTGATTTTTATCTTTTCGTCACAGTTATGAGAAGCGTCTGTTTTGAAGACGATCCTTCAGCTGGAGACGATGATGCCAAAACTCCAGGTCTTCTTGTTCTATGATCCTATTAATGTTCACACACACACACACACACACACACACACACACACACGAACGACTAACCTCAGAGCATTTCTATTCATCAAGTCTTCCAGACATTTCGCATTTTCTATGCATCCTCGAATAATGCGTGAAGGACAGCTAAGCCTTATCAGTCAATGCACGTGACTGTTCTCCAAAGCCTTCCATGTCATTGTTAAGTGCCCACTATACAACTGTGTTCATTTTCAAAGAATAAAAGTTCTTCTATTTTTTACATGATTCTTACTTACTTTTGTTCAGTCACGGAAAAAAAAAAAAGAATAAAGCTCAAATGAAATTGCAATTAAAAGCCTGGAATGGCCACCGTAACAAGTCTTTCAGTTTGTTGATTGAGTCTCTTTTTGATTCAAAAGGGGCAAAAGGCTGAAAGATGTGGTATGAATTTTAAATGTGTTTGTGCTTTTTTTTTGTATTTTGACAAATATAAATAATTATAATAATAAATAATTGATTACATGCATGCCAATTTTATTTTTGTGTATGCGGGGGAAAAAAGCCTTTCAAATACCACCCCCCCCCCAACGAAAAAATAAATATTGAATTTTTTCCCTGAAGTAATATTTTCTCAACATTTTAAGTGATTTTGACACGTGTGGCGTTTGCAGCAAAAAGAATTCACAAAAAAAAAAAGTCCGGGCTGGTTGGTGTGAATACTTTTGGTCTTAGTTTGACATAACGGTGAGAATATGCAAAATGAATTCAGATGATTCTTGTTGCTGGGTTATGACATCTGAGAAATTAACAATCAACGAACAGATTGGATGGTACTGTTTGTCTTGAGGTCAAAATATTATCTGCAGGCATTTTGTTGTGCAATCTTAAAATGAAAGTGACATAATCGATCAAATAAAATAGCGACATTGTACCTTTTAATTCAAAAAATATTATATATTTTTGTATAGTAAACAAAATATTCAGAGGAAGACGCATTCCAGCTGATCATCGTGGCACTTTCAGCAGAGCAAAAAAAAAAAAAAACTTCCCTCACTGTTTTGTGGGTTTTCTCTATTTCTTCTTCTAAGTCAGACCTGTTAGTTTTTCTTTTTCATTTGAGAGTAGAAATTTCTTTTGCAAAAACCGCGACCATGAACATAAGAGATTGTTACCCACAAAATATAAGAGCTTGTTACCCACAAAATCTCTTCATCATAGGTGAGTTTCGAAATTTGCACTGAGAGCGCTGCTTCAATCAGAAAATCAGAACCTTGTTCAAATGTGCCATTCAGTTCTTCAGACTACCGGGAAAAAAAAAACGGAATACCGGATTCCTGTGCGTGCTTTAAATTCTAAAATTATACAAAAAATAACTTTCAAATGGTCATCACGGTGTTTTATTCACGGTTGTGTGTGCAAACCTCGCTCACATTCACCTCGTCTCCAGGGAGGATCAAGTAACTCTGTCACATCCACCGGACTTTCCAGGCCTGACATGAGACATACAGTAACTGCGGGAAATGGAGTGGTCACACTCTGTTGGTCTCACCTGCCTCACATCCTCATCCGTTATGTCTGCTCATCAGTGACACACATTTGCAGTTAAACAGCATGAAGGCGAGTGGATTGTATTACAACTATGCGCTACTACAGCCTTCAGTGCTTAAACCGTATCTGTATCTTGCTGGAAGTTCCACCTTCCATTTGATATTCTACAACCCAACCGCACAATCAACTGTACCAAAATATATTTTAAACATTTGCACTTCACATCCGTTCAACCGCATTTGACACTCAGTGGCTGTAAGTTTTGACGACTGGAACTCGTTTGATTTATTTTTCCCATAAAAGTCGCTGCTTAACCCTTTCATGCACAAATAATGACAACCTACATCAGGATTTTTTTTTTCTCAAGTGTTTTTATTCGTCTTTAGGCATGGAAAAAAAATAATGGCAGTGGATGGCAACACACATAAGGGTCCATTGTAGTGGTTGATGCACATGAAAATTAATTAATAGAAGAGAAAACAATGTGAATGGCTGTCCACTCTTGTAACCGCTGTCCTGGAAAGGGATAAAGAATGTATAACGGTAAATAGATTTTGGCCTTGACTGCGAAAAATCACACCAACGGCTATTTAGTAAATAATTCATGCATTTGTGTTGCCAGTTAAAATATTGATACAGTATTTGTAATTGCAATTGCTCTCGTTGGGGCTCATTCGATTTTGCTGATATACCTGATGTTGTCGCCAACGATTGTAACAATCGCAACCTAAAATTAGCGATCGTATTAAATGGATGTCATTATTAACCTGTGCAGCTTTCATAATGATTTAACACACTTTTGTTTTGTAGTAAAAAACAATCTGTGCCAAATGAGATGTAAGCAAAATCATGGTGTCGTCTGTACAAAATGAAAATGTAAAAAAAAAAAAAAAGTATATATTTTTTTTAATTAGCTAACAAAAGTAATTTAAGTAACTGTACAAAATAAGAGTGTGTGTCCTTGAATAAAAAAGTCAGTACCAAATTAAACAAAGACATTGTACAAATGCCATCAAAATACATCTGTAAAAATATCAACAGTCAGTACAAACCTTAATAAGTTAACCGCATACAACTTTTAAGGAACCTGCAAAACAAAGTTAAAAACTGTATTTATGTATCATTGAAATTTAAATAATTTTTAAAATGTCTGGACAAAGTGTTTTTTTCCCCTTCTGCGTGTCCTGAAAATGCTGTATACAGTATTTCAAATACAAAATAAAAAAGAAGAAGAAGGAAAAAAAAAGAACGCTATCCCTCTCCAGTTGTGGGTTGAATCGGGAAGGAGGAGTTTTGTCTTGTGGTTAGAAGTGAAAGTGAAATGAATGTGGAGGCCTTATAAAGAGGAAGTTGTACGACGAGACACCACTGCATGAGAAGGAGAGGAGGAAGAGGAGGTCGACGAGGACGAGGAAGAGCGGAGGGACACTGTAGTGCTGGTGAGATAGACAACACCAACTTTCACACAGCCACAATAGTGTGTGAGCTCTGTTTTGTCATTTATTTCTTTGTGTATGACTCATCTGACGTCTGAGCCTTAAAACTTTCACATTGACTGGATCATCATTTTGTTCCTCATCAGCGCCTGACTCAGAAAACCGAATATGTGTGTCTTCCTCAATGTGTTCAGGACTTCCTGCTTTCAGCTCAAAAGTCAGCAGAAGCTCCTGTTGGTGCTTGTCTCCATTCCAGCCTTTCTCATCCAGCTGATCTCCTGTAACACGCTGAGTTTTACTTTCTCTTTGGAGCCAACAGGTTTTTCAAGACCAGGCCACTCCTTTTATGTCCCCGTAAGGTGAGTGGACAAATGTGTCTACGGGCACATCATTCTCGGATGTGCGGATGTGTGGGTGTTGGGTATTGAGTGGATAGTGCGGGTGCATTTTGGATGGTTGTGCAGCGAGAGCAGGTCACCGTGTCAAAAATGAATGTCTTGAGGATTGTAAGACAGCGGGGCCCAAAGGTTTTCTTCCAAGGGCCGCCATACAGAAAAATGGAATGTTGCAAGGGCCACGTGCTTCACCGCTCATTTATTTTGTAAACTTAAACCAGTCCATCATTGTAATCAACGATATGCCGAGCGATCTCCATTTCTAAAAGACTAGCGAGGTGATTCGTCAAAAAGTCAAAAGATTTTCAGGACTTTGCCTCTCGCCCTGAACCCAACGAGAATATAGGTCGGCCCCTTGCACTGAGCAACAGGAGTCACATCTCGACATTGAGAGCCAAAACAGGAGCAATCTGTTCTCCGATGGCCTTGAACAAACAGCTGAAAGTGGAACAAACAATCACAATTCCTGCTATTTTCTGCTGTGACCACATCGTCTTCACTCATTGGGACGGCATGAATATTACCGGTAATTGTGTTGCTGTAGTTGTTCTAAACAGTTTTTTTTTTGTGAATCTAACACAGCTCTGTATACTCAACACTATTTACTATGACTATCATGTTCTTGACGTCCCTAACAGTATAGTTGTTTACTCTTCTGCAGTATGTGGGTTGAATTCCCATTCAGTGACGGCGTCATCATAAGTGTGAATATTGTCTGTTGTCCAATCCAGGGTGTACAGTTGTCTGCCTTTTTGCCGAAAATCCGCTTGGATAGACTCCCGCTTCCCGGTGGACCTGAGTCACCAACATGGTGCCGGTGGTCAACTGGTTGGTTAGCACGTCGGCCTCAGAGTGCAGAGGTGCAGGGTTTGATTCCGGCTCCGGCATTCCTGTGTGGAGTTTTCAGGTTCTCCCCATGCCTCTGTGGGTTTTTTCCGGGTACTGCGGTTTCCTCCCACATTCCTAAAACATGCGTGGCAGGTTAATGGAATCCTCTAAATTGTCCCGAGGTGTAAGTCATTTGGCTGTTCGTCAAGTGTGTGCCGTGCAATTGGCTGGCAACCAGCTCAGGGTGTCCCCAGCCTACAGCCCGAAGACAGCTGGGATAGGTTCCAGCACACCTCGTGACCCTTGTGAGGATAAGCGGATCAGAAAATGGATGGATGGATAGATCAGTTATACTGGTTTGGTCGGTAACGTGTCGGGAACATGTTGATCGTTGTTTTCCAAATTAATAGCAGATGTTTGCAAATGTCTCATTTGGATCAAAAACAAAAGTCTGATTTAATGGAGGATTACAGAAATCAGAGAATATTCACGTTGACTGGCTGCAGTGAGAGAATGTAAAAAAAATTTAAGGAAAACAATGGTTCGAAATGATTGATCAATTAACAAAATAGTCGTGAATTAATTTGGCGATCGATTAATTGTCGATCAATCAATTAATTATACACCTCTACCGGTAGCGCTTTGCAGTAACCGTCGTCAAGAATTAGCACTTCGTTTGAAAAAAGATTGGTGATCCCTGCTGCACAGTAAAGGAAATGGTTGGCTGGAGAATGCACTTGCGGGATGTCGTAAAAACGGAATTGTGTCGGCGTTACGTTAGCGATAGACGATCACCAACTGCTGTGTTCTAGACTCGTTGGTGAACCAGGACACCTCTCATGTTGTAGTAGCATTAGTGTCATCACTACCTCTACCGCTGTCCATTTTTAACAATAAATTATACTGTATTTCACAAATGTCGAGACAGCATATTTAGGTCATTTGATTCTCCGTATTTGGGTCTCTGAAGTGCCCGCTCCGCTGTCATGTGTAAAAATTTAACAACCAGGTAAATCTTTTGTGACTTACCTATTTTTAGAACACGCGTTTATAAGCAAACTTTTCTGAATCAATTTAGGCAGTATTGCCCTCGCTCTGCGTTACTTTGCCTCTTTACACATGACTCGGGAGCTAGACTGGATGATGGTTCAGAGGGAGTCCAC